GAAGGGGGTCTGAATACTTTCCGAATGCACTGTATATAGTAAAACCTTCTGAGGTTGCCTGGCCAATGAAACAGTTAATACCATTGTATCAACATTAACGATTGAGGTAGGTCTATAATTTGTACAAAATTTAGAATCTTTACTGGTTTTCAAGATCATTGTTATAAAAGCCTCATAAAACAATACAGGTAATCCCCAAGTTAAGAATACCCAGTTTACAGACAACCCATAGTTAAGAATGGAGCCTTAACAACAGTTTGAGTTAAATACATAATTATTTGAGTTAAATACACTTTGGTTTGAGTTTACACAATGCTACTTACATACTATTATACAATAATACTGTTTCAGTTTACATTCAAATCCGACTTAAGGACAGACCTTGGGAACGGAACTTGTTTTTAAACTGGGGACTACCTGTAGTGGTAATTCACCTGAGTTTAGATTCATTATACACCTCTAACAGTACAGGAGCCAGCATATCTATAAAGAACTTACACCATTCAACTGGGAAGCCATCCAGACCGGGGGCTTTCCCATTTTTCATCAATTGAATCATCTTTAATATCTCTTGGAGTGACAGAGGAGTTCTCAAAATATCAATATTGTCCTGTGATAATGGTTGAATATTAATTTGACTCAAGAATTGGTTAATATCATATTGATTAACCTTATCCAATTTGTATAGTGATTTACAAAATTAAAAGCTAGCTGTACGTTGGCTAACAAAAACATTATAAAGTTTGTTCGGTAGGATTTTGTTGCATTGACTGAAAAACTTTCTTTAGTTCTGTTATCCATCTGTTGATAATGAAGATTTCTAAATTTCCTTCACCTAGCAACATAAGCAATGATCTAGATTCTTCTGTTGGCCTTATATGCATCCCAGACTATCTAGCTGAATTACAATTGAAGTCTAGCTGAATTACAATTAATTAAGAAAAAATTGTAAAGTTTGTGGTCTAATATATGTAGGAAAATTGTTATAGTATCACATAACAGAAGTATTAAAATGCTACCCATTAACTATCATTAACATTTTTAAATTGAAGAGTTAATGTAATTGAAGCATCATCTGATATAACAGTCTTAGAATCTAAAACGCAATCCAATAAAAAACAAAATAAAAAAATAATCACAAAAAAAATTGTGTCATAGGAAGTAAACGTATAATCCCTGGTGGTGGGATGAAGTTTACGCCAAATATCTACCAAATTAAATGTGTGGAAATAAGCATGAAATTTTGATTATAAATACATTTTGGGTAGGATATTCCAATCCATATAAAAATCAAAGGCATGATTGAGATCTCCATCAAGAATTATGAAGTCACATTGAATTTTGAAAACGAAGTGTGTTTCTTGGTTTGGAGAGGCTTACTTTGAAAGACTGTCTTAAAATCGAAACGCTCTGTTTCCTAGTCCAGGGATAAACTCTGGATATTGCTGAAATCTAGCTGCCATCAGCCCCACACAATGTGGTCATTAGTGAAGAAAGATGGGAATTGCAGTCCAAAAACTTATGGAAGGCCAGATGTTGCCCATTCAGTCCTAGACTAATACTAGCTGTATTCATTGTATTTATGTGGTATCTTCCAACCCTCCTCCTGCCCTGCATCCTTCCTCCTTCTAGGCAACAAGTCTCCTTGCTGGCTCAGAGGTTATCTGGAGCCTCATCTTCATCTGAAATGACAAACCACATTTTACCTGTAACTGGAGGGCAGGTGAGCAGCGATTGGCAGGCCATGTGAGAACCCCATTTCCCAATTTTCTGTTGGTGGGTTTAGGGGGAGTTGAGGTGATTCAGTTGGCAGGGTTTGGCTAGACTAGCTACAGAGTGAATAGGAGGTGCAGAGAAAAGTGGTCTTACCTCTAAGAGACCCAATGTGCCATAGCAGTTTCAGTGGCTGATCAGGACTGAGGAAACCCAGATTCAAGCTCATTTTTAGCCATGAAAGTTTATTAAGTTACTCTATCTCAGGGAAGAAAGTATAGAGAAGAATTGGAGGAGGGAGGGTTTTATGTATCCCATCTTGAGGTAGTTTGGGTATAAATGAAGTGACTCCTATAAAATATAAATTAAATAAGGCTGCATGTAGTTCTTATAATTTAAAATTCCTTACAGGAGCGGAACAGTGATCCAGCACAGGCTCGTCCAAACCCTCCAACTTTTGCTCAAGGCGTCATCAGTGAGTAGCTGGCAGTCTAGGCTGGGTTCTTCTGGGTTGTGCTTTTCTTTAAAGTCTCTTCTTGCTCATCTTGCATACAATACAGTCATGTGCTGAGATCGTTTTGGATTGCTTAATCTGGAATAACTACTGCTTTCTGGTTCAAAACACAATTTCTGTGCAACATAAATATTTCTGTTCATACATGCGGAAGGTTGAGACAAAAGGCTAGCAACAGTATTATTTTGTTGGTGGCACAGTCGGCCAGATGTTTAGACTGGATTTGGCATTTTTATCCGCCTACTGAATCCTTCCCAAGGACCTGGGATAGGCAGATGTTGTTGTTTGATGGTGTTAAAGGTATTGTCGCAGGATGTAAGCCGGTTGGTCATGTTAAAAGCAGCTTACATCCTGTGTTAAATCCATGTTCTTTCAGCTGTACATAGAAAGACAAGGAAGGTCTGGGTGGATGCCATTCTCGGAAATAACCAAGAAAGTCATTTTTAAGGTCCCACATCGGTTCTCAGCAGAGCCTAAGCTGTCTTCTGGGAAATTTATGAATTCTGAAGTAATGGACCAAATTGGACATACTACATATATACTAAAGAGAAAATAAGGAACTGTTTGGAAGCATAGTTCCTAATCTTCATTTTTATGTATTGTGTCCCCAATTGGTATAAAAGCAGGCTGTGAATATTTTTCAAAACTGGCTCAAGTCTGCTGAGAAATAATATGTAACCTTGAAAATGACTTTTGTAATTCAGTCATGTTTTCTTTTTTAGTCTACATGCAATTGATAGATCCACAAGTAACTGTAAAGCACTTACTGGATGCTAGTTGGCGTACTAAGAAAAGGGGGAGAGATGTCTCTCTTCTTTAGCACTATTGAATAAGTAGTTTGTTTGCCAGTACAAACAAGTACTTTTAAGGGCAGCTAATTTGTGACATTTCCAGAGCACCTTAGTTACCCACAGATATGCCTGAATAGGAGAATGGCTTGCACGCAAACTGGACTGTCACATTGCACTGCACAGTAATGTAGTTTGCTAAATTCTGGCTTAGCATGAAACCTGGCATTGTAGCTTGGTAGCCAGGGTTTATCACTTAATACACTGTGTAAACCAGTCATTATAACTTATTCAAGAAACCATGTTTTAACCAAGACTTGCCATAATGTATCTTGTGACTCAACAATATTAGGGTGATAGAGACAGCAGCACATAATACAGTATGTTCATAGTTTTTGTGTTCCTTCTTTGTGACCCTGAGATATTAATCCCACTCATGTTGCTCAGTGCTTTTTCTTTATCCATGTTCCTTACTGTTCCTTGCACCAAAAAAACAACAACTATGGAATCTGAAATAGAGAAAGATGGAAGGCTTTGATATCAAACAAGCAAATGTGCTCATCCTGTACTGCTTTCTGCAGTGTTCAGTCTTGACTTGCTACAGAAGTTAGCACTTTTTTCCTGCGCAAGGTATGATTCGTAGGCATGGCTCTCCAGCTACCAAAATCATTGTCTCCTATTCTCACCTCCAGATGAGGCTGATCAGCGTCAGTATGAAGAGTGGCTTTTCCACACCCAGCAGCTTCTCCAGATGCAGCTAAAGGTGCTGGAGGAGCAAATTGGGGTGCACCGCAAGTCCCGCAAGGCCCTGTGTGCTAAGCAGCGGACAGCTAAAAAGGCTGGCCGTGAGTTCCCTGAGGCCGATGCTGAGAAGCTTAAGCTAGTAACCGAGCAACAAAGCAAGATCCAAAAGCAGCTGGATCAGGTATGTTATCCGAGCCAGCTTGGATAGTATTGGGTCTCTGTGTACATGAAGTTCTTAATTTGACCAAGAAAGTTGCACATGTGTGCATGTGTCTCTGTATATGTGCACATGTGTACAATATTAGCAGGCCTGGGATTATTTATTCATTTATATTTTAGTTCACCCAATAACCAGAGTTCTCTGTGAAGTTTAAATTGTGGCTAAAAGTTCATTAAAGATAATCAGCAAGTACGGAAAGAGAGCAAGAATAACTCTCTTAGTTGACAACTCTAATAGTTGACTTGTTGTCTCTTCTGGAGTAAGTGGCACTAAAAGAGGAAGAGTGGGAGTTTGAACAAATTAAGGTAAAGATTGAGATGTCCGGTAAGAACAAGGAGGGGGAAATTGCATAGTGAACGGGGGCAGTTGCTAGGCGGAAGAGCGGGCAGAGATGATATATTTGCAGGGAGGAGATTAGGGTTCAGAGTGATGCAAGTCTCTATCCTTGATACTTCAGAGCAAAGTTGCCCTCTCCTGGCGAAGAGAAGAAGATAAGCAGTGAATTCCTTCTGATGTTCTCTTTCCCATTCAACAGGTCCGGAAGCAACAAAAGGAGCATACCAACCTCATGGCTGAATACCGTAACAAGCAGCAGCAGCACCAGCAGCAAACTTCCACAGTCATGGCCCTCAGCCCCTCCCAGAGCCCTCGTCTCATGACCAAGCTTCCTGGCCAGCTGCTTTCTGCTCACGGCCTCCAGCAGGGGGCGCAGGGCTTGCCAGGTCAGGCGGGGGGCCTGCGCCTCCCTCAGGCTGCACCCGTGGCAGTGCAGCAGGGCTTGCCATTCATGAGCCAGCAGCAGTCACCTTTGCCACCACCCTCTGGGGCCACTACTGCCAGCAGTTTCTTTCCTGGCAATCGCCTGTTGCAGGAAAGACAGCTGCAGCAGCACAGGTTGCAGCTGGCCCAAAAGCTACAGCAGCAGAACCTCATGGGACAAATGACAATGCAGCAGCAGCAGCAGCAAGGCCTGATGGGACAGGTGTCTGTGCAGCAGCAGCAGCAGCAGCTTCAGCAGCAAGGCCTGATGGGACAGATATCTGTGCAGCAGCAGCAGCAGCAGCAGCAGCAGCAGCAAAGCACAATAAGCCAGTCTGGTTTGATGGGTCAGCCGCCACCACCTCCACCCACACCACAGCCAAACCAGAACCTGCTCCCTAAGCAACCGGGGCTGCTGAACAGCCAGCCAGGAGCTGTGGTCCAGCAACTCTCTCCGCAGCAGCAGCAGCAGCAGCAGCAGCAGCAGCAGCAGCAAGTTATATTAGGGCACTCGATGCTGCAGCAGCATCAGGGTGTGTTAGGCCATCAGGCTGCCCAGAGGCCAATGCTGTTGACTCCTCAGCAGCATCGGGCCCTGGGTTGTCCTCAGCAGCTGGCCCAGCAGACTCAAGGGATGATGGGGCACCGGCTCCTTTTGTCTCCTCAGCAGCAGCAGCAGCAGCAGCCGCCACCGCATCAGGCAG